ACTTTTCACCAAAAACAAACTTATGAGTAAGAAAGTCCAAAAACTCATAAAAGATCATATTACATTATTATAATAAACTGTATTGTCTGTATCCGATGTGTTAAATTAGCATAATCTCCAATATTTAAAAAATAATAATTTTTCTACACTAATTTAAGATCAGATACTTTGTTGAGATAAATAATAAGTTACTATAATTGGTGAGTATTGGTATTTAAAACAATGTGATGCTTCTATAGTACTTTCAAACTAGGAAACGTTTTCGAAAAATAATATTTTATAATTGTAATAAGAAGCAAAAATATTTAGTAATTATCATAATTATTATGTATAAAGTTAGAAAAAAACAAAGATTACGCAGGGGTAATCTGTACGATATAAAATATTTTGGTGCAAATATCAATTAAAAAACCGATACATTTTTACAAAAGATAAAACAAACATCATTATGTATCAGTCCAATTCTATTTATTGTAACACGATATGAAGCCCTTTGGAAAGCAATAAATATTCTTCAGTTTAATGACGAGTTGAGATAATATTTGACATTTGTTTATCTTATAGAATCACTTGAAGACATAGCTGTTTATGCGATTATGGAATTTAAAGATAAATTTGTTCCGAGAAATTTAAACTTTAGTGTATTATGTATCAAATAGCGCTTATGTAAAAAACCGAAAATACCGGTATTTTGGGATAAATACCGGTAAAAATACCGCCAAAAAATCGGGCGATTCACCGGTAATTTCGTATACGATCTAAGGACATTCCTGTAAACACAATAGTTTTGATCCGATTAAGCTTTTGGAATATAATATAACCATTATATAACCTACACATTAAAAAAACGAACATTCATCATAAGTACAAATTATATATGAATTGCAATTACTCGAAAATAAGTTGCCGAGGCTACTCTTGAATGCAGTAACTTTCTAATAGTCTAATACAATTTATTAAATATTATTAAAATTATATTCAATATCAGTAAGTTTATTTGGGTTTGATTTTAAATCGGTCTTTCGGTTTTTCAAAGAACTATGGCTGCTCCAATTAAATATTCACCCAAAACCCTGGAAAAGGCTTTAAAAAAATACGCCATATTATATTAAATATATTTTAAGGGTTCTAAAACATACAAAATTCACAATCAAAGCTGATTTAAGCTAGTAGTTATTATTAACTTGAAAGACTTTAAAGATTATTTTGAAGTCTTCAAAGATTTACGTTTGTTGGTAGAATTGTAACTTTTATTTCAAGTTTAATTTTTTATTTTGAGTTTAAATTTTATATTCATTTTAAGTTTATATTTTTGTTTAATTGCCGTTAAAAATTATTCCTTTAATGTTTCATTTATTTGATTCACCGAAACAGTATTGATAATAATTATTATACTGCTATTACTATAATAATACCAGCTTTTATTTTATTTTTATTTTAGAAGTTTTTATAAAACTAAATAAATGTTTAAAATCATATCAAAGTATTATTTTATAATTTACCGTACTTTTTATAACATATTAAACTATATTTATCAAGGCAATACGATCAAAAATGTATGCTTCGAGCGCTATCACGGAATAGTGTACAACAACTCCCGGCATTATGTACACGAACCGAATTTTATCACGGAATTAGAGACAAACGCGTTTTTCACCAAAATGCCGATTATTTCTATAAATGACGTTCTACGACAAAAATCTTGTTTTATAATAATCTTAAAGGTCTAATTAATAAAATATAACAGATCTAGTTCGTCTACTTTCCTATTTTCTCTAAAATTCGACTTTAAAGTCAAACGTTGCTTAACATCCCGTAATATGGCACGTTTACCTTAATTATCCTTTTATTAGGTACTATATGCAGTGTCTCCAAGAAGGCTCCGACACCGAAGATCTCCTGGTGTTCCGAGTGGCATCTCTCTGGTTAGAAAACACGGGGCCATCACCAGATCTCAATATCACGGCTTTGAGTTCGAGGAACACGAAATTTATACAATTGGTCAACCAGGGATTGAAGAATATAGCGGCTTATAAATTTCTACCGGTTTTGCCACAACTTGCCCCCAGGCTGGCCGACGATCAGGATAATAGGACTTTGACGGAACTAATAGGTAATAGATAATAGATAGATAAATAGATAGATATTGTATGTATATTTATGATATTTGTTTTTTTATTCTAGAGACATGTGCAACTGTTCATCCGTACCACACTTTACCGATTGTGATGTCGTTGGCACATGCTTTGCAAGATACAGACAACAAGACTAAAGATGATAAAGCACAGGTAATTTTAATATATATATATATATATATATATATATATATATGCATATCTTGTATAAAAAATTCTTCTGTAACTATGTATGAATGGTTAATCCTCCTAATCTATAATTCGGATTTTCATGAATCTACCTAAAGTTTGTTCCGGAAAATTTTCTAGAATTTTTAGATTCATAGAAATATAGTTAGATTGTAGAAATAATTGGAAAAAATTACGAAAAAACTTAGCCGCTTATCATTGTTTGCCCTTGAAAATATTTAAGGCATGGTTTGACATTAAAAACAAATGAAGACTGTCATTTGCCAAACATTTCTATTCGCTTATAGGCTAAGGCAATATTAAAATATAATAAATTCATTATTATAAAGAAGGAAAATATAATGTCAACATTATTAATGCCGAAAAGCAGCTGAGATGTGCCAAAAATTAAAATAATATAACGTACAATATATATTTGGCAAACGACGGTTGTGGACTGTAATTGATTGCGCATCAAACATATTCAATTTGAATGCAGTCGTCTTTAGCCTTACTTTACTAAATCACAATACAAAAAAAAAATACTTTTTCAAAAAATTATTTAGAAGTTTCATTGTGTCAAAAATTCATATGTTTGGCATTGGGTACGGAATGTTTACTCAATGGAGCGCTTTCGATCTAAATTTTATTTTACTGTTTTCCAATTCGTTTAGAATTTTGGAATTAGGTTCATCTTACTCTTAAGTTCAGAAGTGAAAACAATTTAGACTCCTCTGCCACTTCCCGGGGGGATGACATTTCTTCTCAGTGGGGTAATTTTACTTTTTTCAGGATAACTTTGGGTATCGATAAAAGAACTAATTATAAGAAAAAAATGTTTAATAATGTTTTTCAAAAATATACGTTTTAACGAAAATCATATAATGAACAAAATTATATCAATTAAAATCTCAATAAATCACTATTTTATAGTGTTTTAGGAACAATATTAGTGCTCAAAATAAGCTTTAAAATGAGTACTTCTACGTGTAAAATAAGTAAACTATCATGCAAATAAAAGACGCATATAATGTTTTTTCATTTAAATCAAATAGTTTTTCAGTGTCATTTCCACCAAAATTAAAAATAATCATATTCCATCTAGAATTAACTTGGTTTAAGAGATTTTGATGGATTCTAGAAAATACCACAACTTTAGTACAAACGATTTTCAAAAAAGTCATGATTTCATGAAAAAAAAACATTAAAAAAACAACCAATTTCTCATTATAATATCTCTGAAAGAATGCGTATAAAAGTATATATATATGAAAATTTGAGGTATTTTTCTGACTAATTATTGTTGTTTATTATTTTTCCGTTACACAAATATTGATAGAGGTATGATTAATTAAGGAGTCCAGCCAGAGGTCTTTCGAGCCCTTTAACCCTTCGCCGTTTCACAATAAGAGAAGTTACGATAAAATTTATGATAAAGAAAGTTGTAGCTCATTTAATCACCTTTAAAATAGTATATTACAAGTTGTGATAAAATCAGAATTAAAAGAGTTATAATCCAATTAATGCGGTGGATGGTGACAGAGTGCAAATTGTTTTCACTTCTGAATTTAAGATACAGATTAGCCTATTTCCAAAATATCAAGTAAATTGGAGTACAGTAAAAAAATTCACAGAGCAATAATTTTGTTGATCGTAAGTTAAATAGAGCACATGTGAATAGGAGATCTGACAAATTAATTCACTTCAAATATGAACTTAAGTAACAATGTATATTGAATTATTAGTGAGAAAAATATAAGTTAGATATTTAAATACTAGAAGCCAGTTAAAATATGGTACGAAATTATAAAAATTATAGACAACATTATTGAAGTAATTATTTTGGGTAAAAAATCCAAGGTGATATTGTACCTTGACCGCATGCTATATATTAATTTTTTCTGAATTTGTTATAATTTTTGAAATATTTCAATTTTCAACAAGTGTATTTATGCTATGACAATAAATACATCACAAAGGCAGATGATGATTTTTGTGTGATAAATTTGGAAAATCAATGTTTTAGTCGTGAATAAACAAAAAAATCATTCATTTATACATCCACATCTACAGGTATGACTAAAAATACTATATAACTCTTAAATGCAATGAAATAAATTGAGCTATTGGAAATAAATTTGCAGTGTATAATTTTTGATATACAATTTTATTGAACATTTTTTAAATTTGTTAAATGGATAATTAAAGTGTTAACTGTGGAAATTGAGAATAATCATTTTATTTGAAACAGTTTTACATTTAACATCACTCATATATTGGTGTAAATAGTAATTCGAAAACAAATAATGATTATTTTTAACTGAACGGTATAAATATTAGTATAGGATATTAAAAAAAAACGTAGATGTGGGTACAGGACAATGTCTGTCGGGTCATCTAGTATATATATATAATATATATATATATATATAATATATATATATATATATATATATATAAGATATATATCATTTACATTTTTCAGGAAAGTCGCATCAGAGCAGCACGCAAGCTGATCCACAAATTGAAATCGAAGAAAAATTTGCAGAATTTAATTGTCGACATGGAAAAAGTATCATTGGCTCTTATAAGATTTGCAAATTATGCTATCAATCCGGAGATGTTGAGGAAAAGCAAAAAATTTAAATTGCCTAAGAGCGAACCAATATCTAGGCTTAAAAATATGGCAAACACACCTGTACCTACGTTGGAATTGGCTGTGGTGAAAAATGGAGACTACAAAAATATCACAAGTAATAATAGACATATATATATATATATATATATATATATATAATTATATATATATAATTATATATATATATATATATATATATATATATATCAATTATTCTTCTATTATAGCTGTGGTTCGATGGGACGACGAGTTCACAATGGTTGGTGGTATAAACGCTCCTAAAAAATTAATATGCAGAGGCAGCGACGGTGTTCCGAGACCTCAACTTTTGAAAGGCAAAGATGATTTAAGGCAAGATGCTGTGATGCAGCAAGTTTTCACAATTATGAACGATTTGCTGAGACGCGATAAGGATTGTGGTGCTCGCAAACTTTTGATCAGGACGTACAAGGTAATAAAAGAATAAACAAGGAATTAGCATTTAAGGGGCACAACTAGTGTAACCGCCTGAAAGAAGGTGATTTTTAGGAATTTATATTAAAACAACTGCTTTATCAATCATTTCAAAATATTTAGGACTATATTTATACATGTCTTAAGAATACATAGTAAAATTTTTGAAGAAAAAAATTAAATATTTTTTAAGTTATCGTCGATCTCCAACGGCGCGACAAAAAAAAGGCCCTTCATTGCTACAGTGATTCCGGTCTTCTACGTGGATGAAATTAAAAAAAAAATCTCGTTAAACTAGATAATATTGTCTGTAAAATAAACTATGATAAAGAAAAAAATCAAAAATTTACAAAATGACGGCGTTTTTAAAAAAAGTCGAATTTTACCCAAAATTTTGGTCGTTTTTGGACTGCCAAAATTCGATTTTTGATCCGATCAAAAAATCGATAGTTTATTTCACGGAGAACTATATATAGAACATGTAAAAAAGATTTGATAGTGATCGGATCGTGATAGTGATTGTTTTTGAGTAATCGCTGCAGCAAATTCGGAAAATGCTGTTTCGAGAAAAACGCGTTTAAAAAAAAATGACCGTTATACTATATACTGTATATATACTCTTTAAATGGCTGTGACTCAAAAACTATTTACGGCATCTATTTAAAATTTTGGTATGTTATTTTTGAAGGTATAACCTGTCGAAATATGGAAAAATTGAAAATTCGATTTTTTTGAAAATTTCACACTAGTTGTGCACCTTAAATTTCTATTTTTATTAACTTCCCGTAGGGTAGTTATAATGGGTCGAAAATCGAAAATGAAAATTTTTGCTTTTCTCGACGTGTTGAAGGTTTCTGAACATTTTTAAAAGGCATACCTCAGAAACTAAATGGATGTGTGTGTGTGTGTGTTTTGTATGTCCGCATTTTTTCGTCCACGTTTTCGGGCGCACGGATCAACCGATTTGAATGGTTTAAAAAACATTCAAATGGCAGGTGATTAGTTTTTGGCAAAGGCAGGTCCAGCCGTTACGGAGATACAGAGCCAAATGTGCAAAAAAATTGCAGTTTTTCGGTGCTTAACGTCCGATTTGAATGATCTAGAAAATTTTATGCTTGCATTGACAAAACAATTGCTTTTGAGGATAAAAAATTATTACATCTTTTTCTATTTTCCATAAAATATTTTTGTAATTTTTGGATTAAAAGTTCAAAAAATTAACCAGGCTAAGCACAGTCTAAGCGCCACTCCGGTACAAATGTTTACCCAAATGCGTTTAGACTGTTTTATGTACTGGAGCACTTTTCCAATTTTGTGAAAACTATTGAAAAATGTGAAAATGCCGCCAAGCTAAGCACAGTATAAGTGAAAATGTCGCACAGAATTGTTTGCAAATGCGTTTAGACTGTGACTATACGGGAGCACTTTTTCAATTTTGTGTAAATTAGGCAACTAAACTATTTTTTTTAAACTGAATTCGAAATGAAATGACGATTGTTAATATTCTGGAGATAAATTGATTTATGATTTATAATTTACATTTGATTTGCTCAAATATAACAAAAGATAGCATAAGTAATGAAAGTTGCACAGTATTATTGTAATAATATATTTGAAAACGTTTAAAATTTCTCGAATATTTCATTACGGTACGGGAAGATCCAGCAATTTTCCTTAAGGCACGATGCCATACACCACTAGTTTTTGTTTTTTTTTTATCAAGGTTGTACCATTATCTCAACGTAGCGGTGTCATAGAATGGTGTGCCAATACGGTGCCCCTTGGTGCTTATCTTATTGGCGAAGACAGAATTTCTGGAGCTCATACGAGATACAGGCCGAATGATTTGAAGCCCAGGAAAGCTCATGAGAATATGTCCGTAAGTAGATAATGAAATTTTTCTGTTTCATAATAGTCATTTTAGTAATAGAGTTTTCATTTATTGGTTGGGTCACTAATCGGTTTTGTATATATATATATATATATATATATATATATATTAATATACTAAGCTGACCCGGCAAACGTTGTTCTGCTAAGTAAGAGGTATATTCTAAACAATTTCTAGACAATCAAAAAAAATAATACTTTCAGTGTATAAAGATGTGTTGTTTGAATGCTATATACAATGAAGTATTATAAAAACAATAAACCCCATTAGTTTGTCTAGATTTTGTCAATACAATCAAACTGCAAGTTTTATACACTTTCTATAGAAAACATGGTATAATCCAATCCAAGTCATTTTTGGTCTTTCGACTTATTGATTACGTTTCAAGTTATTCGGATTCATTTTGAATTCTGGATTTTGTGTATGTTTGTAAATAATACTACTGAGCCTATACAATCTTTTTGAATTTCTGCGAGGATAGATAGAAAATGAATTAAGTATTTCTTTTTGACCTGCTTTTTGAAAAGTTTTAAGTAACATTCGATGAATTAAAATAAATTTAATAAAAAGTATTATGGATTTCAAACATTACCCTTTATCTCCGAGCAAAATCATAACAATCAAGGTTAGCTGGTATACATCTTTTTCCCTCTACTTTTAAATATTGTGTGTTAAACAATGCTTAAGTTTACTGGTTTTGACACATCTTGGTGGACCTTTTTAACCCCGGACCTTCATATATTACTATCTATTTTCAATAAATTCTAGGAAAATGTTATTCGCCAGAATGTCCCTTTGATCGATATCATATTTAGATTCTGAATTTTGATAAAATAATAAAAAATAATATAACCTAGAAAATGTTTATAATACCAATGAGTATATAATTATACAAATGAGATCTTTCAGAGCACCGTGTTTGAGAAAAATGTTTCAAAAAGTGCATTTCATATTAACATTTCAAAGAGTTGATATTGTTGAGTTTTGTAGTAACACTGCGGCCCTATTACATGATTTTACTGAATTGCAATTTATAGCTGTTTTGTAAGAAATATGTGTGATTTTATATTTTATAATTTAGTACACGTATTAAGAAATAACATACTAAAATTTTATAATTTCAGTATAATATTGTATATTTTTGAAACATTTTCAAAAGTGCTTCTCATATCATATCCAACCGTCGATTCGCAACTAATAAAAATAGAGTATGCAAGTGTGTATTGCAGTTTTTTAGTTTCTTCTGTTACAAACATATTTGACTTTATATTTTTATAATTTAGTACACGTATTAAGAAATAACATACATACTATAATTTCATAAGTGTATTACAACGCTTTATATTTATAAAATATATTTTAAGCCGTCGATTTGTTTATGTCAAAACGTTTACTAACGTTTTTGTGTATAAATATAACTATGAACAAAACTACTTACTACAATTTAATCATAATTAAATAATATTCACGCAAAACATCCTATCAAACGTAATTGAACATCATCAGTCAAAAACGTTTGACATTTGACGTAGTAGCAACCGTCCATTGTTTATTTAAATTACGCATCTACAAAATTTTCAAATAAAAAATGTAAAGTTTCTACGCGATTTTGAAATAATATCTCACCTTTCCGACAACCTACTGATTAGAACGAATTTTTCAAGACTAAGACTAGCCAAATCGGTTCAGCCGTTTTCGAGTTTTAGCGAATCATTTGATCGAGAGCTTCATTTTTATAAAAGACAATATTTATTTGTTATTTCAGAGTATCGCTTCGCAGCCAGTAAGTGTTAAAACTGCAAATGTTCATGAAAATTTGTGAAAACTTCCAACCGGTGTTTCAACATTTCTTCCTTGAGAATTTTCCAACACCGACAGTGGTTCGAAAGGAGACAAGCTTATACACACAGGTAGAAATAATTTACAATTTACTGTACTTATTTATTTCCTATACTCTTTTATTTAGGATGAAAACTGCATCTATACTTTAATTATTTATGAAAGACTATTAAGGTCGAGAAATGCAAAAATTTTCATTTTCGATTTTCGGCCCATACTATAACTACAGTACGGAAAGTTAAAAAAGGAAACCGTACTGATCTTATAAAACAAAGTTACAAAAAAAAAAATGAAGTACAAATAGACAAATATAATTATAATATCTTTATTACAGTGTTGCTACTAGTTCGATGGTTGGGTTACATACTCGGTCTTGGGGATAGAATGTTCAAAATATATTAGTCGATAAGAATACTGCTGAATTGATACATATAGATTTTGGTAAGTCAAAAATAATTAACTACTATTTAGGCATGGTGTCGATAATAATATGATTATTATTTTTGCAGGAATTGCATTTGAACAAGGTAGAGTACTGCCGACTCCTGAAACTGTGCCTTTTAGATTAACACGAGATGTGATTGCTGGTATGGGGGTTACTGGAATCGAGGGAGTTTTTAGAAGGTTAATAGAAAATTTAATTCAGATAAGTCTATTATTATGTAGTCAGTCAGTAGTTGTAATTGGTTTTTTATTGAAATGTATATGAGTAAGATAACTTTACTGAAACGTCGAATGGCATTTTAACAAGCTCTACAGGACGCACCTTTTGTACTACAA